GCGGAGGAGGCGCCCGACCCCGCGGCGCCCGAGTCGGAGGCGGCGGGTGAAGGCGGGGCGCCGGCCGCAACGGCAGGGCCGGCCGTGGAGGGCGCCGGCAGTAGGGCCCGTGGACCGCCAAAGCCCGGAGGCGGTCCACGAACCAGGCGTGCTCGTCCACCTGACGAGGTCGTCGATGGGCCGCCAGTGGCCGGTGGTGACGAGACGACGAGGGGTGCCTGCTGCTGAAACGGGAAGACCATCTCATCAAAGTAAACGTGTCGGAAGGTGAAAACACGGTGAGAGACTGGATCGTAGCAGCGGTAGCCCTTAGTGTTAGGTGGGTAGCCGAGAAAGATGCAGGCGATGGAGCGGGGTGCGAGCTTATGAGGCGCAGTGGCAGCGATGCTAGGGTAGCACAGGCAGCCGAAAATGCGAAGCCCTTCATAAGAGGGGGGTGCACCGAAGAGAAGGTGGTGAGGTGTAAAGTTCCCGCGAGTACGACATGGACGGATGTTTATGAGGAGGGAAGCGGTGGCTAGAGCGTCAGGCCAAAAGCGCGGAGGCACATTGGCGTGAAAGAGAAGAGTCCGAACGCAGTCATTAAGAGTGCGAAGGATGCGCTCAGCACGACCGTTCTGCTGCGAGGTGTACGGGCAAGTGAGACGAAAAATCGTGCCATGTGTGGCGAGAAGATCGCGGACAGCGGTGTTGTCAAATTCCTTCCCGTTGTCTGTCTGCAACGCAAGAATGGGCCGGCCAAACTGCGTGCGGACATAAGAGTAGAAACCGACAAGAGTGGAGATAACGTCCGACTTGCGGCGCAACGGGAAGGTCCACACATAATGCGAAAAATCATCAAGGATGACAAGGTAATAAAGAAAGCCCGTATTACTTGCAACAGGAGATGTCCAAACATCACTATGAATCAACTCAAACGGGTACGATGCAACAAAGGAAGAAGCCCTAAACGGAAGACGAGCATGTTTGACAAGACGGCATGCATGACACGAGTGATCCTCGTTCTTATTACACGTGAAAGAAAAACTCCGAAGTATGTGGCGAAGGGTG